ACAGATGGGCTTTGCAGTTGGCTTTCAAGGTAGTTAGGTTTGATTCTCACATTTTAGAAAGATTTAAAAGAATTTTCCACATTCTAGATGATTTCCTGCGACTGAAAATTTAAAGTTTTCTAGAGCATTCAATAGGAAGGATACAAATGAAAAGGAAGAAATCCCACATCAAGGAAGAAATTGGCTTTCTCTACTAGTAGCAGAGATATACTTTTGTGATGAAAAGTCAGAGAAAAGACTAACAACTGCCAGACAGGTCGTACAGAGTTTCTATGGCACTCATTTTGACCCCGCTGCTGTAATAGCCCTTTTCTGGCCATTACAGAAAATAGCCGTGTCAAGATGAGTGGGAGAGCTGTTGACCTTTTATTGCAGGTTTGCTTTCTTGATAATTCATTTTCCTGCTGTATTTATGGTGTGCATTCTTTAACCAAGTATACAATCAAACCCTCAGCATTCGATTAAAGCCATCAAATAAGCGGTGTTAGACCATGGAGACTATGAAAGAGCTGATATAAAAGTAACACTGAATTCAGTCTGAAAACAGATGTCTGATTTACTGCATTCTACTTACAAGGACAAGACTCATGGCATATTAGCTGTTGTAAAGTCTGGTTTGGTGACAGTATAGTTGATAATCATGGCAAATGGCAAGAATGTTTTAATAGTGTTAGACTGTTGCCATTAAAACTGGGATAAAATAACTTCCACTATAACGAAAGCAAGATGAAGCATATTCACTTTTGTGGCAAATCTTATGATTCTCTAATGATTTATGGTCTTGCTTCTTTGCATTCCCACTAGATTGGAGGACCTGCGAGTAAAGTTAGAGAATGAAGGACTGGTCAACATCTCATATGTGGTTGTCAACCATCAGGGAGCTCAATCCCAGAGGAAATTTCACCTACTGAAAGAAAGTGTTTCAGACTATATTAGTGTCTACCAACAAGAAGAACAACAAGATGATGTCTGGACTACCTTAAATGGAAACAAGGATGACTTTCTCATCTATGACAGGTATGTGTTTACAGAGAAACAAAGGAAAATATTTGTATATAATTAGAGTAATGCTTTGTAAATCTATGTTATTTCATTTATGTGCAAATAACAAAGACATCGTGATCAACTTCTAAGCTGAAGTTTACTGGAGAAAAAGTCTGCTTTTGCAGTAATTTTGGAATAAATAATTTTTTCTTTATAATTACTGTGTATTATGATTAATGTAACTGAGTGCAGAATTTAATAACATTTTTCTTGTTTTACCCTGTTTTTATTTTCAGACATGATTTCAGACATGTAATGTAACTTCATTACACCCATGCATGTCAAATCAGAATCAAGCAGGAAAGCTATCCAAGTTCTAGTGGAAACATTTTGACCAGAGTTGTTGAAAATGTAGACATATGGAAAAATTAGTCTTCAGTTGAAACTTAAAACTTCAGCAGAAAATAACTTTTTGATACAGGATTCTGGCACTTGTATATTTTGGCAGAGCCAGTAATAACTCTAACTGAAATCTATCCTAGTGATGTTACTGTAATGAGCATTCTAAGTGGGTTTGCCTGTTGCTGGACATGCACTGCAGACACATAAGGAGCTAAGGCTAGAGGCCCACACAGAGGGTGGGTATTTAACAAGGTGGCCTTGTGTACAGGTTCTGGATTTACTCAACTCCTTCAAACTGACCAGTAGCGTAGCCAAGTGCATATCAGAACACTCAAGTACAGTTGTGGAGCAAATAGGCAGCATACCAATCCCCTTATGTACACTAAATCACCGCAATGCACTTTCCAATCAAAATACATATGAGGTTACATAAAAACATGTTGTAAGGATGCAACAAGTGCTGTGAAAACAGCCCTCCTCATTAGCCAGATAGCCTGTAATGAGTGTACCTTTGCTAGTCTAAGGGCTACTGACTCAGAAGCTTCTGCCAGTACAGCCAGAAATCTCTCTGCATGCTACTGGCTGATGCAGTTGAGCAGGCAGCCATTTGTAAGCAAGACAGTGGATTTGCCTGTAAACTCCTTGAACAGGTACACTTTCCATAGGACTATACAGTGTGGGTGGATTGATGTGAACAAAATGAGATGTGATAAGAAGAGAGATCTAATTTCATATATGTGTAACCACAAAGTTCTTTCTCTCCTTAGATGTGGCCGTCTGGTGTATCATCTGGGACTGCCCTATTCCTTCCTGCATTTCCAATATGTAGAAGAAGCTATTAAGATTGCATACTGTGAAAACAAGTGTGGAAACTGCTCTTACACGGTATTGTCTTGTCTCATTCTGTGTCTACTAGGACAGGAAACTGAATTTGACTGGTTCTGAAAAAATTATTTCAGTGAGATTAATCCACAAAGGCATGGTTTGGAATGTACACATTTCATGTGTCTTGCCAGAGAGTTTTTAAACATTTTTCCAAATTAATTAGATCTAATTTATAATAGACTGATTATCAGAATACTTGCCCGTGATAGAAGTAATTGTCAGAAACCTAAATGTAATCTTGGAGGCTAATTCTGTTTGTGGAGTTATATACAGCTAGTGAGCAATTAGCTACTCTAGTCTTGGGGGATGGGTAAGGACATAAACGGATAGTATGATTTTTTAAACCTGGGAATTGAAGCAAAGCTGGTTTGAGGTTTATATATTCATTTAAGTTTGCATTTAAACACATTATACAACAGTTAATTTAAAAAACTGATAATACAAGATGACAAATTATTGTTACTGCTATAAAAGAAGGGTAGCTTTATGTATAATTAAAGATCAGAACTACTCTAAGGATTATCAAGAAATGTACATACATAGTCATGAAAGTTCAATAGGAATAATAATTCTTGATCCCATAACGCAGTTTTCCATATAAATATAGGCCACAGGCAGGTCAGATGTGGGATCTAGAAAAAAAATACTTGTTATTAGCAACTAATGGAATTGTAATTGCTTAAAGCTTGTATTAAGAGCCCTGTTATCAGTGGTGTTGCAACAAGGTTATTTTTGATACATTCAAATGTTCTTCAACAAAGTGGCACAAATAATTTAAAACTGGATTTCAGGTTCTGCAAAAATGTTAATTAATATTTTACAACTAGTTAAATACTGTGCCTTGTATTTAACACAAGCCTCTGTTTTTCAGGAACCTGATATTGATGATATATGTGAAAACATCACCAGAAAAGCAGATAAGCTAGAAGAGAGAGAACCAAAACCAACTGGTCAGCACTCCCATCACCACAACCTGCACAGACATGGGCACCACCACCACCGCCACCACCACCACCGGCACAGCAGTCATCATCCCAAAAAGGAGAACAGCCAGGCTTCCTCTGAAACTGGGAGACACCACCCTCACAGTGGCCAGCGCCACAGAGTGTTTGGCCATCACAGACACGATCAGTTAGGTAGTCATGAGCAGGTAGACACTGCTCCTCCAGGAGAGAGTGTGGAAATTACACAAGAGAAAAAGCTATGAAAAAAAGGGAAAAACAGCTGTAAGAACCAGTTGACTTGAAACTGGCAGACAGCATCAGACTCTACTTCTAGTAGCTGATGCTGTCATTGTCGACACCTTCTGTTTGAAGAGTTAGGAAATTCTGTCACTTGACAGTGTCATGGAGCACTTCCAAATTCTTGCAGGTGACACGGCCAGCTGGCAGCAGAGGACATCACTGAATCCTGACAGTGACGTCTGCTCTCTGCTGCCTGACAGTCAGCAGCAGCAGGAGGAAGTGAAACCAGTGACACCTGACAGTGACAGGAAAAGGCAAGAAACTGAGCCTGAAAAACAAACTAAGCACCTTCAAAATACAAGGGAATCCTATTAACTAAATTCATATGGTTGCAAGAGTGGACAGATTAACAGATTAGGTGTTTTTGTTGCCCAAAATTAAAAACTACACTGACAGGTGTGTGGAGTTAAAATATGGCAAAGAATTAGACTTTTAGAGCAGTGCTCTTACAATTACAGAATACCTGTCAAATTCCACCAGTGAAAAGCTTCATAATTTAAAGGAATTTAATTGGCCGCTAGTTTGTTTTTTGGGTGCACTGGGAAGGTGTCTGCATTCTTGATTAATTTGTCTTTCTTGTTTTTCTTCTAACATTCTTCTTGCATTTTTGAGGACAGGAGCGTAAACTATGACCTAGGGGCTCCTGTCTGATGTTTTGCAATAAAGAACAGAAGATAACCAAGACAGATAGTTTAATCAATTTTTATTCAAAAGTTGAGTTAGTTTTTTTTTCCTAACCTGGGGATACAAACTATGTACACAAAAAACTTATTCCTGAGCCATGTGACAAAATAACTTTTTGTTCAAAATGTAATATACAAACAGTAACTGCATTATTTTAAAGTAACAGATTTATATGCTTAACTTTTGTGGCTTAGATACAATACAAGGATTAATTAATACATAATCCTACTAAATCAGTAAGATCATGCCTAAAGCAAAAAGCAGTGTTAACAGCTATTCATGGAGAATGAGTGTCAGAATCAATAAAAGGGAGGGATAAAATGAGTTTAATCTTAGTATATAAGTTTATCTTTGTTTATAACAGTGCTGAATTCAATAAATCTGTATCGATTAGTAAGGTAATATACCACTGAAACTTGTATAATTTCTCTGTCGGTAGCTTAGCATTTCTATCGTTTCATAAACTGAATGGAAGTAAAACCAGTTGTTTGAAGGATTTCTGGATGAAGAAAATAGTATTTGTGAAAGGAAAACTGCTATGAAAGCATACACCATAATTAATGATGGTTTGATAGGGAAATTATTACTCCTGCAAAACCTGAGTCTTTTTATTGTGAATGCTGATTAGCAAGAGTGTAGCCCTGAATGTACACAGAGTGCATGCCTTCGGAATATTTGACAAGAGCGTTTTCAATAAAAAATACTATCTTCATATATCGTTTTGACTTTGAGATGCACAGTTTGAAATACACCACCTGTATTTGCATTGTACGTACTACTGAAATACTTCATGTCATTTACTCAAAATCGCTTCCGTTTTAAGTGCAGGTCTTGGCCTTTATGAAGACGTTGCTCTAAGTCTCTTATGGTGTTTCGGAGACATTCAATTTCCTTATTTTTCTCCTCCTGGAGATGCTGCAGCTTCTGTAAAAATGCAAGCAAAGGCTTCACTGTTAAACATCACACAGAATTATATAAAAATACAATTTGCTATTGCAAATGAGACCTTTTCTAATAAGAATGTTTTCCCTCATTATTTTGTATCACAGAATGACCAAGATTACTTCCTCGGAATCCTGTTTTTGTGACATCCCAAAGTCTCAAGCCTACCAAAAAAAAAAAAAAATGCCCACAGACAGTTTATATCAGTGTCATTTATGTCAGTTCTGTCTTAAGTTTCCGGTTTGGTCATTCTGGTGGTTAGAAAACCACCTCACATGTGGCCCTTTGTTGTTGAACCCCGGCGGTATCAATACGCAAAAAGACATGACAGTTGGACTCAGTGATCTTAAAAGTCTGTCCTAAGATAAATTATTCTATGATTCTATGAATTTAGTTGTCTAGGTGTGGGAGGGATATGTGGGAGAGAACACACAGACATGGACAAAACCCAGGGAAGTCCTGTTTCAAACAGGCTGTGACAGCACTCGGTATCTGTGGACCAGGAGCTATTAAAGCACATACCCTTCGATAGATACTTTGTGGCAAGACAGAAGCATCTGAAAACGACCTGGTGGTTTTATCCTGAGCTCTTGCTAATTTAGCGTTGAACTGAAAGAATCAGGCAAAGACAAAACAGTAAGAACCATCAGGAAAAAAAGGTATAGTAAATAATTCAAGTATAATTTTCACTTTTTTTTTAGTTGCATTTTTCACCTGATAAACAAGCTTATCTACTAAGTAATAACAAGCTTATCTACTAATTAATCCTAGGAAAATGAAGCTATGTAGGTATATTTAAAAGAAAGAACCCAATTACAAGTTATGTTTCTTTAAAAAAAAGCCTCAAAATATTTCAAAAGATATGTAGTACAAATATGATCAAAAAGATGTGGATGTAAAAGACACTATTGAAAAAAAAATAAATTGAAGGCTCCTGAGCCACAGGAGGGGAAAATGCAGAGAATGCTAAAAAACTCTGAAACCATCATCCTTCCCTCATGTTCCAAGAGCAACTTAGCATGAACCCTTTCACACTTTATTTCTTTTTTTGATATGTGAAAGATTGAAGTATTTCCCTAATTATTTCTGTAACGAGAGGGGTTTAAAACCTGAGCAATGAAATACATGTTGAATGCTTAGACTTAAATCTCTGCAGGATTAGAATTCTTTATTGGGAGTTTATTAAAAAAAAAATTCCCATAATTTAGAAATTAAAACAAGAAAGTTAAGCAGAAAATGTTGTTTCAGTTTTTTTATGGCTCAAAAACCTAGAAAAGTTTCAAAGTAGTTTAATTTAACACAAGAACAGTGCAAACTTCAGTCTCCCTATACAGTAGGTAGAACTTGATTCCTGAGCAGAAGTGAGTCGGTTTCAATTGAGGAGGGAAGGGAGCATATGCCACTGATCTTCATAAAGACAATAATTTTTTAAGTTTTCTAGATTCCATCATATTATGTTGTTTAGTACTAATTAATATTTTTCACTAAAGTCTTCTTGAAGTTTACCCAGTGCCCAATTCATCTTGAAGTCAGCTTTGTAACGCATACCTCTATCTGCAGTTTGATTATTTCATTTTGCTTCTCTTCATTTTGAATTTTCAGCTGTCTTGTTAGCTCTAGTATTTCCAGATCTTTTTTCTCTCTCTCTTCTCTGTACTCCATTTCTTTTACTTCAACTAGCAACAAAGTATCACCAAATATTATGACTATAGAAGATTTGATGGAAAAATAACATAATTTCTTAAATATTAAAACTTCCTTGAATATCAGGTGAGTGTTAAGTTGGTAAACATCTTCATTCAAGCAAAAACCATACCAAAACTGATTGAAAACCACCCTGTCCCATCCCAGTAATATGGTGTCTCTCTAAAAAATCATCTTGTTTTACAAAAACTTTTCTAGTTGTTTTCAGCTATGTGGACGAGCAAAAAATCCTACTCTCCAAGGTTATGCTTCTAATGGAAAAAAATAATATTGAAATCAGCTTTTTCTCACTGCAGTATTATTATTTATTAAAAATAATGTCCTACTCTCCTGAACATAGATAGAACACTCTAACAGCAGTCTAGTTTATAGTTCAAAGCAAGTTTCCAGTCTACACGTTACCCAAAATTTCATTCCTTCAGATTTTTACATCCAAGTTCTCAGCATTTGTTCTAACTGTTTGGGAAATTCTCCTCATCCAGTGTTGCCTTATTGTCACTGTCTCCTCTTTAGCAAAGATAAAATTCAGTTAAACACTGTCCAATTCTAGTGTTCATATGTCTCCACAAAAAAAGTGGAGCTTTTAGAGGAAATGTAGCAGAACTCACGTTTTTTCCTTATATCGCAATTCAACTGTGTTATTTCTAATTTGTGGTCTTCCTCTTTGTTTTTAATTTCTGTCGTGAGTTTCTCAATCTGATCTTTATATTCCTGTGAATGTAAAATGTTTTATAAAAACCTTGCAGATTGTGCAAAGCCCAACAATCAGGCAAAAATTATATGCTTTATAATATATACTCTATAATTCAGTACTTGTTTGATCCTCAATCTTGCAAGTTCACTATGCCAAATTACTTCTTACACAGTCTGGCTGAAATCCACAGATGAAAAATGTAGCAGATTTCATTGTACTGCAGCTGTCAGCTAACGTAAAATTAGAAATTGTACTTCTTAAGAGAACAGGTAAATGGAGAAGCAATATTCCTTTCCCCAGTCTGGGATCTGACACAGTGCAGTTAGTTCAGGGACTACAGTTTTACTTTTGTGGATCTTTAAGACTGCATTTAAAAATTGTATTTTAAGTATGAATTTTGTTAGTATTGCTTATACCAAGGATTCCACAACTTCATACTGGCAGCAGTAGAAATACCAGCAGTACTGATGCTGGTGGCACTGATACTCAGAGTCTGAGCATGCAAATTGTATAAATATTTAACTCATTGTACAAACACAGACAAACTAAATCAGTGATATTCCTAATCCTGTACAGGTGACAGATCTGCATTTTGTGCACAGAAAACTAACACAACTTATGACTAGCCCTGCTCATTTTACCTCCTTTGCAAAAACAAGTGCCATAGATAAAACAGAGAGAGATTGCAAATGGAATTTATTATGAGACACAGATAAGAAGTAGAGACCTATTATCTTTGTAGTATTTATTCCCAAAGAAACTAGAAATCAGACCATTCTTGATTCTATGGCAGCATAATCAAGCATCTTGAATATAAAAACCTTATTTGCACACAAAAAATTATTCTAATACAACAGGTTAGAATTTAAACCTGAAGTTAAAGCTAAACAGAGCTAAAAAAACCCCAAATGCATCTTAGACTGAGTTCACATCACCTATATGGTTTTAATCTCTCAGTTCTTTTAACTTTTTTTAAGTTCTTTCTCAGTCTCTTCTCACATGGGTGCTGTCAGAGCAACAATAAGGGTGTCAACAGCAAACCCAAGAATATAAAGATATATGAACAGTTACAAGAGATACAAAATATTATTCCTCTACCTAAAGAATGATCATTTGTGACGTACCTCTTCACAAGCCTTTAATTTATCTTCCAGGATGTGAATGGTACTCTTCAGTCTATCATTTTCATCTACATAAATAAAAAGCTATATGACACACTATTTTGACAATATCATTAGCATGAAAGCAGAATAAGGAAATTCCTTTCATTTTTTGTCTTTGCTGAACTTTAAGAAACTTTTTAATAAGCATAATAGTTATCATTTACAGAATTACATGCTCTTATTCTCCATTTTTTATCAATCATATTTTAATAATAGTATTTGCCTGGTACTACTACATGGAAATGTCTTTAGCCTCCTGATAAATGATGTATTCAAGAAAATCTAGATGCAAAGTTCTTTGACTCAGAAAATAAAAGACTGTTATCATGGCTCCAGCAGTTACAAATTGGACGATGCAAGTCTTTAACTACTTGTTTCCTAAAAACTCAAAAGTAGTACCTCAAAAACAGAATTTAGGAAAAATAGATGCTTTAAAAAAAATTAATATAAGTTTGAGTATTAAAAGCAGCAATATACTTCCAGTTTTAGAGGTTTATTAATATTTATGCTAATATGCCTTGAACACATAATTGTTATAAAATTAATTATAGTAGAACTGTAGTATAAAGATATAGCAAATATTTATGTATTTTATTTTCAACTAAAAATTAGGAATTTTCAAGTATTTACGAATAACAGCAAAACTTCAAGAAAATTATCCTACGGATTAAGACTCTTTGGTTTAACATGATAAAAACTATGCATAAACACTTTAATACAGATGAAAGGCTGAATGATGCTTTCTAACCTTTTGTAAAATTGTCTGTGCTATACTGAAATAAATTTAAAGCCCAAGTATTGATTAAAATAACCTCACTGAAGCAGAACATTTTTACATGTGGATTCTAAGTAGAATAATAGCAATAGACATTTATTACTGCACAAGATTGATTTGAGAAATATTTTTTCACTTTCTGTTTGTCTGGCAGTGAGTTTCTCTGTCTGGAAAAAAACAGTAAATATAAACAAAAACATTAAATGCGTGCTCATTTGAAATTACAGTACAGCATATATAAGAACATTTTTGCCTTTACCTTTGACATTACACTGGTTTTCAATGGTTTGTGTTAGACCGTTTATCACATTCTGTAGAGTAATGCATTCTAAAAGAAATAAAAAATGCAGATTTTTTGGAATAATTTCTTCACAAAGAAGAAATTTACATTGTCTTCATAAACTTTTCTCAAATATTTGACAATAATTTTGATTAAACATTATTCTAAGTGTTCTTACTGACTGTAGAAATAACACGGATTATTATTACATAGTTACAGATTAATTTTAGTTTTTAGTTTGATAGATTAAAGTCAATTTAATGAAGATATACAAACGATTTCATAAAACTATCAATTTTTTTTTCTTGACAGAAGTCAAGGATCTTATTGTTTTCTGGTCAATAATAAAAGTTTTCCATATCAATCTTCCAGCAATTTGTGTATTTAATGAAACTGTGGCTTACTTTCCTGGCAGCATTTTTGCCAAGTTTTTTTTTAAGAAGATCAACCATATCCACTCGTTGCAGTCTCTCACCCACTTTTTAGTACATATTAACATTCATCTTATTGCTTAACATAAACTTTGAGAGATTCAGGATATGCTACTATATCCCCATTATCTCAATTAATACCAAATAGTTATGTGCATTTGTATCTATACACACGCAACCTGTTATCAGTTTGCATATTTGTGTTTCATGATTTTATTTTTTAAGCTGTATCTTAGATATTTGAACACCCTGTGTACTTCCTGTAATACAACATCTGGTTTTGTTAAACACTACTTCTATCCCTTTTGGGTTCCTTGTAAAACCAGTAGCATCGCAAAACAGTCAGAAACTGGGAAAAGTGGAGACACTTAAACTGAGCTTGTTTACTCTTAAAATTTCCCTCTTTCCAGAGTGCTGCTGCATTTCCTAAGCGGGTTTTAACTTCCACAACAGATAAAAGTGGGCTAATTAACAGTTACTCGTCTCATCAGACTGAAGCTCTGCTGAAAACTGTGCATCATATAATTAGAGACAACGTTATAAATAATGGAATCAGGAAGACGAACTAAGATCTCAGCTAAGAGATTCCACGCAATCTTTTTGACTGCTAGCCTATTCTTCCATTAAGTCTGCTTTTCATGCAGCCGAGCACTTCAGCCAGATGTCTTCTGTTACATGCTTCCAAAAAAAAAACAACCAGTAGAGGGAGCACGAGCAGCACAGAAACACCCTCTGCCCTCACTTCGTGTACTGGATCAAAACCGTCTGTGGAAAAATCCTATTCCAAGTCGGAGGCACTAGGTTAGCATGCCCATTTGTACCAACTAGTTCTACTACAAACTTCCTCCCGTTTGAAAATGCATGGAAACAAATTCAAATGCTTGTAATTCGTGCAAAAATGGAGGGACACTAGAGCAGCATCCAGTCTTCAAAAGAATCCCAGCTATTCAGATGCAAGCCACTCTTCTGTTCAGCCCCAAGAATATCTGCTCACAAGAATATCTTTCTTATCTTTAAAGGACATATCTTGGCAAATCTCATATGTAATTACAGTTTTGACTGGAAGAAATTACTGGGAACCCACAAGTTTTGCTTGTCTTTCGTGGATAGGCTTCGCGAACGAAGATTTGAGAAGGGCTCTACCCATGCTCGCTACAAGCGCGCTGATGGCTAAAAAGGCCAATGCGAGATAGACCAGTCCGGCTGCAGAAGGCACAGCAGAAAGACTCCCCAGGTGATAGCGACAAGATGCGATTCTTTCTGCGTTGTCTTTTCTCCTTGAGAGTGATCCTGCGTGTGTCCTCAAAAGCAGCAGCAGCGTTATAGATGGTGTGTCTCCAGGCCTCCCGATTGGAGGCCAGGGTAGACCAATGGTGGTGATCAAAAAAAAAAAAAAAAAGAAAAAAAAAAGAAAAAGAAAAAGCAGAATTTTGCTAAGTGGTTGCAACTCTTTGGATCTCTGGAATATCTGTTATGGATTCTGTGTAGTTTCTTCCTTGTAAAGAATGCTCTCTACATGCAGAAAGACCACACAGCCTAAGTGCTCATTTTCCCTGCTTAGTAACTACTTTATTGCAGTTTCATCCATCTGCACTTCTAATTGAGTTTTTACAGGGCAATTACATCAACTGCTTTTTCCTTTAACACCTCAGAAACACTAAGTAAACAAATAGGCAACTCTGAAGATGCTAAACAGAGCCACCTTACGTGTTTCATAGATAATAGTGTGATTGCTTCCTTTTAAAAAATTACAGCAGAATGCAGTTCAGAACTGGTACCACAAGAGGCAATTTAGTCACCATAGTGAAGGTTTAGGAGCAGAGAACAAGAATGCCAGACTTGCATCTGCCTTAAGGGGATCTGGAGTGATATACATAAAACAAAAACTACCATTCTGGATCTCAACTTCGTGCAGCAAAGAACGTATGAAAAGAAAATACAGTTAATTTATGACCTTCCAGAACATGTATACTTGCCAAGCTGCTTATCTTTTCCCACTTTATCTTGGGTATAAGCATTTCACTGCCTTCTCCCTAGAGTTTTAGAAGTTTTCTTTCTTCCATTGCTTTTCCTTCAGAATTCCTAGTCTTCTTTTACCCTAAACAGTTCTACAGAGAAACTTTTGGCAATCAAGGATATCAAGGAGCCCTCAGGTTCTCACTTGTTGGAGATTTCTTGGGATGAAACGCTACTATTTTTCTGTTTCACATACTAACAAAGTTCTTCAAGCCAGGATAAAATTCCACCTTCTCCACCCCACTACCAGTAGTAGCCACAAACCCTTCAGGATAGGTAGAACCACAGTCTTTCCTTCCACAGCACTCTTTCTTTCTGCTGCTCTGCTATAAGCAATTTCTATTGCCTTTGGGCCAACTCTTTAAAAGAAACTTTCAGGAACTGGCTGAGCTGGTTCTGGAAAACAGTTTGGGACATAAGGCTAGGAGAAATCTTTTTTCCAAGCCACAGTTGGCAATATCACTGTATAAAAGCCACTGTCACGACTACAGTCTGTTAGGATAATTGTTGCCAGAGCAAGAATGAGAATATCAATGCTGTATTTTGTCCCTTGCATCTTGTCTAGTTCTGCACAGGATCCCTCTATAACCACATCAGTATTAAAGAGGCGGTGGTGTTTTTTTTAACCCACAGTGTTTTGACCTTCCAAAAGTTTTATACAAAGAATTGAGCTTTAGATGTGAAAGTTCTAGTACTTTGATTCTGAATAGCACATATGCCATCACCCCTTTTGAAGGGTCAGTGTAGCAGGTGAATTTAATAAAGGTGCAAAGCACAGAATCACAGAAAGGACCACAGTGAGTTATCTGGTCCAACCTCTGTGCTCAAGCAGGGTCATCTCAGAGAACATGGCACAGGATTAAGTCTGGACAATTCTTGAACACCTCCACTGAGGGAGTTTCCACAACCTCTTTGAGCTTAACCTAATAGAACAACCATGATAACTGTTTTAGTTTCTAAATGCATTCTACTCATTTGGTATCTTATTTGTATTTTACTTCCTTATCATCAAGAAACTTTCGGAATCACCTCCTGGATGTCGCACATCCACACATGTTCCAAGTTTGTGCTTCTCTCTTTTTTTTTTTTGATACTGCTACTAATATCTCTGCAACGTCTCTTACTCATTGACCAGAATCCTTGTCTTCCAGCAATTCTGCCTCCTGTCTGACTGCCTCCATATAACTTCCATGACTTCAGTATTATTGAAATTTGTTTTTTCCTGACAATCCCTGCTGCTAAAACTGGCTCATATTTCAGGCTGATTCCTCTGCTATTTTTACTTGGATTTCTGCCACCCACAATTTTTTTTTCCATGGCGTGTTTCAGAAGAAGCTCCAGAGGCTGTTCTCTTCAGTTGTATCAGCATAATTCTCTCATAAAATAATTTCTCTCTTATCTCATCAAAGTGAGGCACTGCTTTTTACAAAGCTCAAATCTCTTCAAACTTTCATCTGTTTTCAGTACATTCTACCTCCTTGTTGCAGTCATCTCAGCTGCTCTGATTTCCCAAGTTGTCTCTTTCACTTTCTCTGCTACTTTTTATCCTATACGTTTTACAGTAAGAATAATTTCTTCTTTTTGGCCACTTTTTCCTTTCCCCTTTTACAATCTATTATATATAAACCCACTCTTCTCTGGTTTCATCAATAATGAAGCTTCTTGTTCTTTTTTTGAGTGACTGTCCTGCACTGTCTTTTCTGCTTAATAAATAAAAAAGTGTCTCTGACTCAAACCAAAGTTCATCCAGTTCACTATTCCACATCAAAATACCCAGTACAAAATACTTCACGAAAGAGGAAAAAAAGCTAGATAAACACTACATTTGATACATCCTCTCAACTTCCAAAACACAGAAGTAAGGGAAACCTCAGTGAGAAATACTGTCTTCATGTTTATAAAAATTTTTAAAGTTTTTTTCCATGATTTTTTTCTAATCCTATTGGACTAATCTATACTTCTGTTATCCACAGGTTTCTGTGGAATTGATTTAACTTCATTTTGTAACGTATGGAAAAGTTCCTCCTGTTGTAAGCTTTAAATGAATCAAGTTTTATTTCCACCTAGTTTTCTTATTACATTGGACAATGAGTCCCGTAGTCATTTTCTCTGTGCCATTCAGAGTGTTGCTGCTATGAGCTCTATTCCTTCTCTTTAGGCTAAAAAGTTTCCAGTCAACTTATGTCTTCCTTCAGATCTTCCAAAATTGTGAATGAATCTTCTGGGTGCTTTGCTGGGCACAAGGTGATCTTAGAAAGAGTATAGCTCGTGACCTTGCTGGAAGTTGATTCAGAAATGGCTGCCCCTCTTTCCCTTGGGAGTTGGTTTTGAGCTGAGGCTTTTGCCCTGGGCCAGTGGTGCAGCTGTGTCGAGCCACATGCTAGACCCTGGTCATGATCTAGGGAGTGACTTTCTGGCTTGATATCAGACCTGCCTCAGCACTGGAGACTTGGTGGTGATCCCTGGAGCATGTCTGGCCTTTGTTACCACTTCTGAGCTCCATTCTGACTCAGCCTCCTGAGTCACTCCCATCTCTACATATTTGTTTGGTAATGTGCACTTCTGGCTGACTGTGGCAGTCCTAGCTGGGACCATGTTTGCTTCTTCGAGCACTAACATTTTAAGAGAACTGTTCAGAGGACATCAAGATCTCTTTCCTGAGAAGTCACCATCCAAGTTCAACCACTGTTTGTATAAAATGCCTCCCATATGCACTATTACTGCTTTTCATCTCCCCTTTGTATCACCTGTCATCCTGTATCATGAGTTTTTTGGTATATCTGAATGGATTATCATGATTAGCAAACTTCACTCTCTTAGTCAATAGCTTAATTTCTCAATTTCAATATTCAATTTCTGATTATGCTAAATTATCAAAGTCCCAGTGAAGAATCAAGCGAAACCAACTGGCAATCTCATTCGGGCATGAAATGAAGTTTATTCCTATCCTGTTTCCTAATTTTTAGCAAGTCGACTTCCAAGAGATGAAAGTCTTACAAAAAGGTGCACCTTTTAGCAACTCTACCAGCTAAAGAAAAATAAGCAACCACAAATGTATGCTAAGTACTAGATATTATCTCTCATTTCAAGTACTCATCTGAAAACATACAGTTCTAGAATAAAACAAAAAAATCTTAATTTTGTAGTTTTCTCTTTAGTTCCACCTTTATTTGGCAACATTTTAATTACAACCATAGACTTATAATTCCCACCTGTAAATGGTAAATACCATTGTATTAGCTTTCATTGAACAGTTTGAATTCTCATAATATTAATGCAAACTGTTACTATGAGATGGATTTAATTACATGACCTAAGATTAGTCATTGCTGCTTTTCACACAGTATTTTGGATCCTTGCTATTTTATTTTTTATTTTATACGACTGAAAATAATGGAAATATCTCACAGAACTTCCTGAATATATGCAAAAATCAGACCTTACTAAAAAAATAACTTACCTTCTTTTACTGATTCCTCCTTTGATTGGCTTAATGTTAGCAACCTGTTACACATTTCCAGCTGATGAATCAGTAGGTTATTTGCTTCATTAATTTCTGATATTTTCTAGAAAATTGGAAAAATACTAACATTATATTAATAAGGTTTAAGTTTTAAATCTTGAGTTTTAAATTAATTCAGCAACTTCACAACACTACAGTCACAAACCCCTATTATTTCTCATAATTCAGGAAATTCCTTTATAGAGAAGAACAATGCTAGACTTGAGGGCCTGTGCTATTGCAAGTTTACCTGCAGAACTAGGAATGCTGACTTACATAATTACTTATAAACTGTTTTCCTCTCAAAGTGACTTCACAGAATTCACTTCTATGATGCCAAGATATAATTGGTATTACAAGGTATAACAATAAGCTGATACCACTCAGAAGAAATTTTCACTTGAAAAGCTCTCAAAAATGTCACAAAATAATTATAGATAGCAGTTTCAACATTTTTTATCTTCTTCACTTACCTTTTCTATGTCTAAGAAGTCATCTAAAAGTTTATCAAGGTTCGCCACACTGGGTTTTTTCACAGTTTCTTCATCACCGTGATTCATTTTTTCTGAACCATATAATCTAATGATTAACGTATAAATAAAAAACATCTCTATGAATTCATATATTTCTCATTCAAATTATATAAATTCCTATGCACAATTGTAACCATAACAAAGAATATTCCTATGCACAATTGTAACCATAACAAAGAATATTCCTTTTTTAAAGTTTAAACTACTTTTGCATGTGAAGCTAAACTTCAGCCAGCCTAAGATCTTGCATTTCCAGGAAGTACAATGAATGCCAGAAAGCCCAAGCAAAATTTATCAAACTATTGGATGATATAGTTGAGTTTGGAATTTTTGCTACAACTAAAAAATTAATGTGAATCCACTTTCATAGCAGAATGATGAACCAGGAACGTATTGATGCAGCCTCTGTGGATGCTTTAATACTTAACTACTCAGGTTTACTTACATATTTTCTTATAAACAATGTGTGTTAAGATCCGTGATAGACATTGCAGCACATAAACCTTATTGTAGAATTAAAAAAACGGTGTTTTGAAAAAGACCCATATAATTCCAGATTATTACATACAATTCCTATTCTTATAAATTCTACTTAGAGAATCTTCAACATATATTTGCAAGATGGATCTGAAATACACAATATGGTTGCTTCTAAAAATATTTAAACTATCTCTGAACATCAGGCTCCATGAGACAAAAATTCTAACAACAGATAAACCGAATGGTCCAAACAAAATCATCACTTTTGTGTGATAATGTGTGAACAGCCTTTTCACAAATAACAAAAAATTACAATAAGAGAGATGAAGTAGAAGATAGAACGTGTTCATTATCCAGAAACTGAACAAGTTTCCAGACAAAAATACTGGCAGCACAGTCAGGCTGGGATAGTTAAATGCACAACAGTAAACAGGAACAAAAATTACGTAACTGAATTATTTTCTCAGTCATTCAATATTTACAAGCCTTTATGTGTATGTAACTTCTTTACCAAAGCAGTAAGATACTTATTCTGTGTGTTTCATACTCTTTTTTCTTGTACCCACTCTTTTCTCAGTGACACTACAACTAATGAGACTAAAACTACTCAAGCTTTCTTTTTAAATCAACAATTTTTCTGAATATAGGTAACATTAAAGAATTGATGCTTCTAAGTTAAATTAGTGGGGTTTTGTTGTTTGGGTTGGGTTTTTTGCTTTTTTTTTTTAACTAAGTTAGCAATCTTGATGAACTTCTAACTTACTACAATGCAATGATTTGTTAAAATAGAGTTTTAAATATATATTCAGGACATTCAATTTTTAAAAACAATTACACATCTTAATATTCTATTAGCTGATAATCTAAATGTACTCTATGAATAATATCAAGCCCTGACCTTTCCAATCCTTATCATGGGCAGTATCTTGCATTTGCCAATCAGCATTAGTTATTTTTGTTATACTCCTAAAACTGTGCTCTACCCTCCAAATTTTGACTGAGGATGGGAGTTCAGGGAGCTGCTGTGTCATATGCTGTTTTTTGTTTGTGTGTTTCCTTATCCTATGGCATCATTTGTTTTCTCAGAAGGCAGGATGTGCTCAGCACTTGGCAGCATTAGGCAACAGTGCCACTGGGAACAAAACTCCTGCTGAACCGAAACAGTAAATTAAAAATAATGTTGTATTATTAATGCTGTATTTTTCCAGCAGGAATATTCATCACTGTTATTTTTGTGCATATTACTATGACACACGTTATGTCTTCCAAAGGCATTTCTGTTCAGCCTCCCACCCCTGTTTTGAACTATGATATTTATGCTATTGGAGGAAAAACCAAAGATTTAAATTTTAGTTTTGACTGCCATAAAACTAACACCTTCTTTTAATCTCTTTTTAACCCTTTGCCACCCATGCTTTTTCAGTATCCTTTTTTAAAACTACTCTAGCTGGTTATCCCATTTTTGCCCCCATTTTTTCCTTTCTGTGGCAGGGAAACCTTTATTTTAAAATATATATATGTTTCTACATATTTTTTTTAAAGTAGGTGTTATTTTTTAAGTTCGTATCTCAGCTGAATGTAGTAGCTATTCCATACGAGGCTTTCAAACATTCCCATGGTTTTCCAGACCCCTCAATCCCGCCGCGCCCTCACAGCTACCTGAGGGAGCCGGCGCGCGCCCCGAGGGCGGGAACACGGCCCCGCCGGCGGAGCGTACCACTGCTGGCCCTGCAGGGGGCGCTCACCTCCCCCTCCCCCGGCCCCTGATGGACTCGACCGGCCCCCACCCCGCTGCAGCCTCCTCCCAGGTATTTGTGGAGAGGGAAAGGGTGCCCTTTGAGCCTCCGCGCCTCCAGGATGGACACTCCCAGCTCCCTCACCCGCTCCTGGTAGGATTTAGACGTGCCCTCTTTAGAGAGAAACAGCTTTTAATTTACTTTATGAACCTAGGACTGGTAAATGCCTGTGGTTGGAAGGAACGACGAAAGTTTGGGGGTCCACAAAACCTCTTTTTAAGTACGTTACACACTTGGCAGGGGAGTTGGTATGTTGGTCTCTGACCTACTATATAAGCACATGACAGCGGGTTTTGGATAAAGGGATAACGTGAAAAGGGAGAGAGACGAGAGAGAGAGAGAGAGAGAGGGAAGGAAAAAATAAGACAAGGAAAGGGAAGAAAAGGAAAAGAAAAAAGAAGAGAAGGGAAGAAGGAGGAGGGAAGGGAAAGGGAAAGGAAAGGAAAAAGGAAAGGAAAAGAAAAAGGAAAGGAAAGGGGAAAGGAGAAAAAAAAAAGAAAAAAAAAGAAGAAAAGAGAAAAAAAAGAGAAAAGAAAAAAAGAAGAAAGAAAAAATAAAAGAAAAAGAAAAGGAAAAAAGAGAAAAGAAAGAAGAAGGAAAAAACCTAATTCCACTGTTGGCCAAGATGATGGGATGTCCAGGGTCTTGGGGATGCTTCCCGGCCTTGTTGGGGGTGCCTTTTCACAGATAGGTTTTGGCACCCTGGAAACAAGTTTCTCACTTCCTAGGCAAATTAGTTTATCACGTGCAGTCTGTTCTTTCCGACCTTCCTGGAAATGAGTTGGAGGCTTCATCTGTCCTGTGTCATCTTGTTCTCACCCTACAGTCCATGGCCAGTTCTTGGTCTCTGTGCTGTGCTGTCTTGTGCTTATCTACAGGATCTAGAACAATGAGGTTCATCCCAGAAGAGTGATGCCCTAACTCCACACGGCCCCCTTTTCCAGCCACATCGTGTTCTTTTTTATGGTATGGTATTACTAGCAATCCTTGGTTGGCTCCACAGCCAACCAGCTATCTGTTTTTGAGACACACACATTAGCCCCTTCTGAGGTTCTACACAGTACAAATCAACTTGTCAGAAATGCTTTCTCAGATGCTCTGGTTTTTGTTGTAATAAGGAAGGAACATGTTACACCTTGAATGCTTTTTTGTACTGTCCTCACAAGCAGAGCTGTCTGCTGTGCAAATCAGAAGCTGTGGGGGCATGCAGGACCTTTCATGCTTGGGCACATCCAGAGAAATAACAACCTACAGTCATGGTCACAAGTGCTGCTTGCAGGCAGCTGCTTTATCGGAATGTCTGCGGGTTGGTTGTGTCCACTGGGACATTGACACAGACAAACTGATGAAAATAATTTTCATGAATGGAAGATCTGCAGCCGAGATACAAGGGAGGGAAGGACACAGTGCCAAGAGCATCATGATGACAGATACTGTCATCTCCCAGTGAACTCAGTACATGCTACTCATGTTTTGTAGCTCACTTTCCCTGCTTCATTTACCAGTTTTTAAAAAATCAGTTTCACAATTTGAGTTGTCCCTGTAAATTGCAACACCCCCAAAAATCTGTTCAAAAGGTTTGGTACTTAAAAAGAAAATAATTCCAAGTTAAATGAAGTTATTTTTTAACCAAAGCAAAAGGCTGTGCTCATCTTACACCTAGAAAAAGGTGCATGGTCACTCTTTAAGATAGAAACCCCCACCAAACTCTGAGTAGTGAGCATTTTAATGCACACTAAACCACACTATATTGCCCAGAATGGTGTTTGTATTATTTATTTAGTGGTGGTGTATTGTATAGGTTACATTCACATGATGACTGGGAATGAAGACTGAAATCCAATTCTCACGATTAGACAAAAAATTTTGCCCTGTGGCCATTTGAAATATTTGAAATAATGCTCTGCTAAATGACCTATATGTCATTTAAATAAGTAATATTTAAGTATAAGACATACAGGTAAGTATGTAATTCGACCACTGGGAAAGTGATTACTGTGAGCAGGCTGGGGAAAAATGCAGAAAAAAAGAGAGTTTGAGGGAAAAATACATGACAAGTTTGGACACAGAAATATATGGCTCAACATCTGTAAGACAGGGGTAGAACATTTAGCTTATAATACATTTAGTAGTATTTAAAATATTGAGGTTTAAATAGTAGGCAGTTTAGTACTGCAAACTTCCAAGACATGAGATTTTTTTCTATAGTTCATTTACACTTCATTATATTTTTTTTTTGGTCTTTTTATAGGTTAGTAGCTTCTCTGGCAAGACAGTTGAAGAGTCTGGTGCTCACTGACATCCGCTGTGTGTTAGACCAGTAGGGAGGTCTGCAGAAAGCAGCAGGTTGTTTGTGCTGCTGTAAGAATACAGTGCAATTGACAGAGTTTCTAATACATGCAAAACACAGATGCCTTTTATTGCTCTTTTGAGCATTCCTGTACAAGAAACTTCTGTGCCAAAGTTTGTATTCTGACGTGACATTATTTCTATTCTGATTCTCACAAACAGCATCATCTTCGTACATTAAAAATCTTCTGGTTAGACATAGGCTTGAGTAGTTATTTACTGATCTTCATGCTGTTTTGATGGTCTTTAATACCCTCCTTTGCAACCCCAACCGTATCAAATCTATGTGTCACATTCATTTACAGAGTTAAGGTTTGCAAGATTCAACTCAGTTTGTAAAATTATTAGTTTTGTCTTTTTCTGAAGAGCACATGGAAGGAAGAACATCTGTTTTAACCTGCT